CAGCACATTTAATTTGATCATCAGCGGATTAGACCTAGGGTTGGTATTACATTTGTACATTATAATATTACAACTTGGCCGTGATTAGTCAGCCAGATACGAGTTCATGAACAGCAAAAATACTCAAGAAAAAACACACACTCGGGGAAAAGAGATTGTTATAAGCAGAGCTACTAAGAAAAAATACAATGTATTCTCTACAGTGGTTGTACTACGAGAGTGGGGTATAGACATGGAAATTATTTCATTCAATAGAAAAATGAAAATTCAAGTTTGACGACAGTAGTGTCTTCTCTATGTACATTAGATAGGTAGAAAAAAAGAACTGGTCTAGGCTTTGCTGCTGCTGCCGGTCTGTGCTCAAGAGACGAATCAGGAAACTAATCATCTACCCACTCACATAATGTACACAAAGTACAAACACAGTCACTACAATCACCAAAGTGAGGACAGGGTACAGGTAGGGTCAAGGACAAGCTGCTCAAGCCGGGACAACAAAATGGCATTCTGACCACAGTGTGAAACCCGTAGTGTATGCAACAGAGCAAGAGACTGAACAGCTCTCACAAACCTTTCCAAACAATCATCATCATACTGGAAACCATACCCCCGTGCTTCCAGCTCACACAGGTTAGGGCATGACTCAACAACTTCACTAACATATGACAGAGGGACAATACCTGCACCATCACCATGGAGAGTGAATGTGTGTGACAGAACACCTACACCATCACGGTCACAGAGAGTGAATGGGTAAGGCACACGGGCCACACTCAGCTTAGAACAAGTAGACAATGCTTTACACACTGATACAATACCATCACTATCTACAGGATTACCATTCACATAGACATCCACTAGACTGCCTGACAAAGACTGAATGATGGACGACAGTATACTGCCATCGTCACATGCATTGTAGGCAAGATCTAGCGTGCGTACACCCTTGCATTGAGACAGACCAGCAGCAATGCTTCGCAGACCAGCATTACCACAGTGAGAAAAACCGAGATTAATGGTACTGCTATCAAAGCAATAATGTGTGCTTAGAAATTGCCCAATAGATACACAATCAAAAAGAGATAGCCGTACAGAGTGAAAGCTAATGCCTTTGTGAAACACTTGTGAAAAGAATGAACAATGACCATCACAGGACGCACCTTGATACCCGCAGTGCTCATGATGAGCCACCAGAAGATGAACCAGATAGCATCGCTCCTCGGTCGACTGCGCTGGACGAACTGCAGGCATAGCAAAGGCAGAAGCGTCCTCAGTTGATGATGGGACCGGTGTCTTGGTGCTCGGACGCATCATACGCTCGCATTGAAATGCCGCGACGGGATTGACGTTGCGCACAGCAGTGAGGAATATTTTCGTGTTGGGATCTACTGCCTCCTTCTTCCACACATCGATGAGAGTTGACAGAAATAGTTCATCCGTCAACTCTCTCCCCCGTGGCAAAGCGCTCTCGACACGTTGGCAGCCGTTGCCCTCACCGCACGTCTCGTCCAGCAGCTTGTAGGCCAGTTCTTTCATTTTCTCATACGTTAGCGTTGCACGAAGCGTGGACTGCATCCTTTCAAGACCCGGACGTGCAGTTTTGCGATGGGAGTAGCTGACAATGTCAGCCACAAGACGAGAGTCGGCAGTGTCCGATGTCGACGATAGGCGCTCCCCACAGATTAGCCGCCAGATATGCTCTATGATGACGAACGAGGGCTTGCGCGGTAACAGTGTAATGACGAAGCGCCAGAACATTGTCATGTGACCACTGTAATGACCGACTCTCTTCACCAGCCATGCCGCGTCATGCTCGTCCTTCAGCACTTCGCGTGACAGATACCATGCCGACATGAACTCCTGTAGGGACAGGTGAGCGAAGCGATACTGTCGGTTCTCAGTCGAGCTGCCGTCTTTGTAAGCGATCAGGAGTCCAAGCTGAAGAGCGGCATCACTTAAACCGGCGCTTTTGACTTCCGACTCGCTGAACACGACCTTTTGCACCGACAACATTGCAAGTGCAAAGCGGGAGACCTCGTACAGCAACTTCATCTCCTGTCCGTCCACCTCGGCGAACGACTTGTGCAACTTTCCTGCATTCCGCTCCAAGACACGTAGAAGTAGCGACTCGTACAATGCCGTGCTGGATTTTGCCAAGCCGAGTCCGCTGTGGTATAGTTCACATGCCAGAGCAGCAAATAATGGAGTTCCCATCAATGCTAGCGTGTCCGGCTGTGCATGCAGCTTCTCCAGCATCTCCTCCGCTTGTTTTCCGCCCACCACTTTTCTCACGTACGTCTTCACGTTCTCTTGTGAGAATCCGATAACCTCCAGTTGTTGATGGTACTTTCCACATTGGCTTAACTTGTAAGCATCGGCGCATGGTCGAGATGTGACCACCACATGCATATCAACACTGCGTTCCCTCAACAGCATGTCTTGCATGTACGGGCTACATTTCTCCAGGCTGCATTCGTCCATGCCGTCAAACACAACACAGAGACGTGACGGATGACGGCGAAAGTAGCGAGCTATCTCCTCCAGCTCATCTTGTTCCATGTCCAACCTGTCGAATCGAGCAGCCAGCAACTCACACAGGTTAGTTGCAGATCGCACCTCAGCACGTCGTAACTCAACAGCCAAGACAAGATTAATCTTCTCCTTCAACAGCGAATCTATAGCCCACAGGTATTCCAGCATTAGAAGGAAGATTGTAGATTTGCCACTGCCTGCACTGCCAAACGCAAGCACGTTATTCTTTTTCACTCCGATGGAAACATTGCTAGCGGTACGAGACAGAAGTCCACATTCGGAATCAACTACTCCGCTGGCACTTGCTTGGTCCTTTGCACTATCGCTACCTGTGTCAGAGAAGATCTCGCTAAGCTCAATGCCACGTATCTTTGCGGACTTTCCATCCTGAGCTGCTCTGATAGCATCTAGCTGGCGTGCTCTCTCAGATTCGGAGGAAAAGAACGACTCGCTCTTGAAAAGTGTTTCTACTTCTTCCTTCGTCAGCAGAGTAAGATTGACAAAGAGCTCGCTCAAAGCTATTTCCCTATCTGTTCCTAAACCCCCGCTGATCTGCACACCACGATCCTTGACTGCATCACGCAATCGTGTCTGCGCCTTCAGGAGAGACGCTGGTAATTTGTGATCCTCCGCCATCGTCAGTCCTCAAGGGATTCTGAGTATCGATCGTGTCTTCATCATCTACATAATAATTACAGTAATGCAGAAATCACAGTCACAATCACTGATCAACTCTTGTTTGAAGTTTTTTTGCATCGAAGCAGAGCGCTCGAGCTCGATCCATCAACTAAATAGATGTCAGATATTATGCCAAATATTAAAGCGCTCGAAAAGTTGAGAGGGCATGCGATTGATGCGCCCAGGATTAGCTTGTCAAGTGCACGGGATGTGCAAAGTACACGGATTTTAGGCTTGTTGCGCGCTTACGCGATCAGGTGCTGCACGTGCATGAATGGAATGCATGCAGTTCCACTGTTACCGCATTGTAGCATTCCGTCGGAGAAAATTTTCGGATAGAGAAAAGGAACTCTGAAACCTTTGTGCATAGTTTGCTTTCAATTTTTCATTTTGATACCCGGATATGGCAGCAAGAAATAGTACACCAGCAATTGCTTCTCGTTTTGCGAACCCACCTGTGGGCGAAACGATTGCTAGATGGACTTTTGCTCAGCTGAAGACTTACGTGAGTGAGAGATACCTCTAGATTGAAAGCGAGATGATTTTGTTGCAGAGGTAAGACCGAAAGATTTTATTTTATTCCCAACGCCCCAGAGCCTAGGACAGGGGACAATGATGGCAGTCGGCGCCGAGCAGCGAAAGGGCGATGAAAATCCGTTCCTCCTTCACTGGTCGCTACAGCAGCAAATACCTTGACACCATCTGCATCGGGAACAGAAGAAGCTGCTTCTCCCGTGAAGAAAAAAACAGACGCAGAATTTCCCGCCGAGGCCTGGACCCATCGCTCGGAGGATTAGCTATGTGGTGTTTCTGCTAGTGCTGTACTCCAGCATCTTCAGAATCGAGAAAGGTACCTAACGCCCGACACAGAAACCATTCGGGGATGAGTCCTTCTTCTCGCCATTCGTTTACAGTGTTGAGTGTTGCTTCCCAGAGCCAAATAATTCTGGACCGCAGAGATACTTTGTCAAGGCTAAGGCATCTCAAAAGAAGAAGAAGGAGAGCTAAGTGTGTGCTACAGTGCTAAACTAGAGAAAAGCATGTACTCGAAGTGATGTCTGCATATTGCACTTGCACTGCAGCATTGCATGCTCCTTCCACCACATAGTCATTGTTGCATTGCTGCTGACCCTCAACTATTGTGAGATGAAAGGCCAATACCTGGCATATGCAACCTAGCAACAACAGCAATGGGGCCCAAGGGCCAAGGAACGTAGTTATGAAAACCCCTTATCAACCACCTGGGCATACTGACACTGGCAACATTGATTTGCCTTTGTACTGGGAAATTCCGCCTTCCTTATCCCACATCACAGAGAAGGTGCTCCTAACAGAGGCAATAGCAATAGAGCGCCCTACCCAACAGCAGATTGGCAGCGGCATATAGCATAGGCTGAGAAGCAAGACCCTGACTGCTTCGCGGTTTCACATTATCCCTTACCCGAGTGAGATCACATCAGCGTTTCTTCCGTCATTGCTCCAGGCAACCAGTTTCTCATGTGCTTTCGCTATTAGTCAGGGCCAGCACAAATAGGAGTTGTTCTATTTGTATTGTATTTATTATTTTACTAGGGCAATCCCTGCAGACAATACGCCTTTTTACAGGGTGCTCAAGGTAAGTGCTCAAGGTAAGTGGGTAAAACAAAGTTGAATGAAAAACCGAGGCTGCATACTACGCCATTACGTATTGCTAAGGAGGTTTTTCTTTTGTTTTCTTGTTTTGCAAGCTGGTTGCCTTTTTTCTGGACTCCCTTGATTTCATCAGTCGTAGATCTACCTGCCTTTCCGTTATGCCTCCAAGGAAATCCAAGGCCCCCTCGGCAGCGCAGCTGGTACCTCCAAGGAAAAAATCCAAGGCCCCCTCGGCAGCGCAGCTGACCGTGGAGCTCAATGCAATGAGGGAGAAGTTTGAGGCGGAAAAGGAAGAGAGCGCCCTGAGAATCAGGCTCCTCGAGGGACAGCTGGAACGGGGACATGAGTCGTCCTCGTCCAAGCGTAAACGCCGTAATGTTTCTGTGCCATCGTCGTCTTCATCTTCTTCGTCATCATCTTCTTCATCGTCCTCGTCATCAGATTCGTCTGACTCGTCGGATGACTCCCGCCGGAAAAGAAAAACCAAAAAATTCAAAAAATTGAAGAAGTCGCGAAGATCCTCCACCTCGATGTCAGCGCGAAAGTGGAAGACAAGGTCTTATGAAGTGCAGCACAGCCTGAATGAGCAGCTGCAACGCCAACTCAAGAAGACCAGGCGGGACCTGCGGAAGCTGAAGGGTGGCCGAAGTCTCTCTCAGAAGAGGTGAGTCGTTGCTGTCTGCTTGACAAGAATGGTTGGTGGTGGCGGATGTGCATGGCCACGAGGCGGCCAGCAGGTTTCAAGAGGGGGGTGAGCTGGTCGACATCCTGTCGTCCTCCGAAAAGTCGAAAAAGCTAATCGCTGCGATTCAAAGCACGAAGCAAAGAGCCCCCACTGTTAATGTTAGGCTGAGCCCTTTCGTGGCAGTGCCCCAGCCACCTCGTCCAGGAGCTGGGGCAATTCCCCAATCCCCTTCACGCCGGGCGTCACAGCAACCCCTGCCCCAGCAGTTCCCCCCCAGACCCCCCAGGCCTGTGTGCCACCGCTGCAGCAGCGCTGACCACTTCGTCAGATTCTGTACCCGCTGCTAGAAAATAAGCCTGCTGTTGTTGCACCAATTCATGCCGATGAAGAAAGAGATGTTGATTCTTATTTGATGGAGGCTGATGGTGGGTGGGATGTGCATGAAGTTGGTGTTCAAGATGTTCAAGTAGGTAGCCTAGCTAAATGTATGCAATTTTGGCGCATGATGGGGGCATCTAGGTTTATTCAAACCATAGTATTGCATGGATACGCACTGCCCTTCATAGAGGTCCCGCGTGCAAGAGAATTTACAAACCACCGCAGTGCATGTGAGAATGCCGAGTTTGTTTGTGACTCGGTGGAAAGTCTGCTGAACCAGGGTTGCATTCAATAAGTAAAAAGGGAGGATGGTGTAGTCACCAGTCCGTTAGGCATTGTGAACAACGGCAAGAAGCTACGACTCATTGTGGACTTGAGATATGTAAACAAGCATTTGCAAAACTTTAAAGGGAAACTGAACGCCAAAAATAAGTATGGCTTATCCGAAGGAGAATTGGGCACTGATTCCGATGAGCTATGTCTCGAGCCGATCAGAGAAGAGGAACCGTGTCAAATTTCATAAATAACACCTTCCATATTTGGAAATTGGGCTTGATGACGTGCGTACTGCTTAGCTATCACCATGCTGTGCATGCTCAGCAGTGTAATTGAATGGAAGAAAACAATTACTTTGGTGTTTTGCAGCTCTATTTCGTTCCCTGACGGTAACCAAATCTAGATGTAGGAATCTGTTGAGCAGGAGAGTGACACATGTCTTCCCGAAGGCTGTTCAGCCTGCAGTGGTGTTGAAGAAAACACGAATATTACCCCAAGATCGATTGTAGCGAATTGGAAAACTCATGGTGAATTTGCTTCCACTCCAAGGCAATATCGAGGTATGAAGGGTGCTTGTACTGCCTTCCAAAGTGAAGAGGAGATGAACATGACTTTGCATAGCTGTTGTTCTATGCCAACTTACCTACTCTTGCTGGTTCCGTAGTGGCATATTGCAAATTTCGTGGACGAACAACTCGAGTCACTAGTGGCTAGTGAGCAACACTAACTAACAGGTGAGATTTTTCAATTTGACAAAAAATGTTTTTGTTGGAGAACTGACGGTGGCAGTGTCATTAGACTCAGTACGTGTCTTTGCTGCTTCTTTCCCTTCATTGGTAGGGTTCTGCTTGATAGTGCAAGTGCTTGAAGTAAAATAAAATAAATAGAACATGTGGAACATAAATCTAATCAAGCATCAGTATATGTATTGCGAATTTCAACTTCACAAAGCACATGAAATCACAATGATCACAAAGTTTATGGAATCAGGAGGACTCCCTGTGTTTAACGAACACAATACACACATTCTATATTGCGCGCACACATGTACACATGTGCGTGCACCCCCACCCCATCCCACAGACACACACGCATGCAGCGCGCACATCCATACACATGTGCGTGAACCCCCCCCCCCCCCCCCCACACACACACACTCCTACCCATACACATATGCGTCTACCCCCCCCCACACACCCACACGTGTGCACAGACGGATACACAAACACACGCACGCACAAAACACACACACACACAAGATACTTGTAAGTGTACATGGTCTTCCTGATGCAGATGCTGGGCCAGCACAATGGAAAATACCTCCATCAAGATGCTTGATCAAGTGTTGTGATAATGGCACTGTTTGTTTGTTTTTACAAAGACGTGTGGGAAGGATTACAATGCGTTATAATTCATAATTGTTCTTTGCCTTGTACTGTGCAGACCAGAATGCTTCGCCATCAACTCCCGGCTTTCCATCGGCATGGTGTTCAGCTGCAGCAGCATCTGGTCCGGGGAGTACAAGTTGCTGGATGGCTGCACTGACACAGGATGGGTTTGCGTTGGCAATGCAATACGGCAGTCATCCCACATTATGAGCTACAAGTTTATGTAATTTATGTTGTCGCTCGTCCAGCAACGTCAAGGCTCTGCATGTAAACACAGGAGAATACCATAATAATTATACTACTCAGGGGATAATAATCATAATTTTGGATTATCAATTTCTTGACTTTTATGAGTTCCTGTCTAAACCATGTCGTGATATTGATTGCTATCTGCTCACAAAGTACCTCGTATTGTAACAATACTCTGCTTAATCACTATCCTCTGCCAATTATTAGATTCGCACAATATTCACAACATATGCAACACGATGCTGTCTATTGACACTACTTCCAAGTACTTCGAACTGAAATGCTCACTACTCGTCTCCCGTTTTCAACTCCCTCCACCTTATGAATACTCTGCTTTACTGGTTTCGTTTCTACCCTTTCCATTGCTGCCAGCTCCCAGTCTTTTTCAGTGCACAGCACCATATTGAAATTTTTGTGATTTGATGTACACATACTTTGAAATTGAAATTCGAATTACATGATCAGATTTTTGTTCCACATGTTCTATTTATTTCGACTTCAAGCACAACCCTATCGATGAAGGGAAAGAAGCCGCAGAGAGACACGTACTGAGTCTAAGGACTGCCACCCGTCTGTTCTCAAACAAGAACAATTTTTTGTCAAATTGAAAAATCTCACCTGTTAGTGTTGCTCACTAGCCACTAGTGACTCGAGTTGTTCGTCCACGAAATTTGCAATATGCCACTACGGAACCAGCAAGAGTAGGTAAGTTGTCGTAGAACAACAGCTATGCAAAGTCATGTTCATCTCCTCTTCACTTTGGAAGGCAGTACAAGCACCCTTCATACCTCGATATTGCCTTGGAGTGGAAGCAAATTCACCATGATTTTTCCAATTCGCTACAATCGATCTTGGGGTGATATTCGTGTTTTCTTCATCACCACTGCAGGCTGAACAGCCTTCGGGAAGACATGTGTCACTCTCCTGCTCAACAGATTCCTACATCTAGATTTGGTTACCGTCAGGGAACGAAATAGAGCTGCAAAACACCAAAGTAATTGTTTTCTTCCATTCAATTACACTGCTGAGCATGCACAGCATGGTGATAGCTAAGCAGTACGCACGTCATCAAGCCCAATTTCCAAATATGGAAGGTGTTATTTATGAAATTTGACACGGTTCCTCTTCTCTGATCGGCTCGAGACATAGCTCATCGGAATCAGTGCCCAATTCTCCTTCGGATAAGCCATACTTATTTTTGGCGTTCAGTTTCCCTTTAAGTTCAAGCTTGAGGACATGAAGGTCGTGGCAAATGTGTACTCTCAGGGAGATTATTTGGTAACGTTCGATTTGAAGAGTGGGTACCATCATATTGAAATTGCGAAGGCGTATTGGAAGTACTTAGGTTTCTCCTGGGTGGGGAAGGGGGGTGATCGCAGGTGGTTCGTTTTCAGTGTTCTGCCCTTCGGTCTATCCACTGCCCCGTACATTTTCACGAAGGTAACCCGTGTCTTACTAAGACACTGGCGGAGGGACGGCATCAGATGCCAGCTTTACATGGATGACGGGTCGGATGGGCACTCTACGGTCGAGGGTGCACAGGCAGTAGCGAAAAGATTGAAATCAGATCTAGTTCAGGCCGGATTTGTTCCAAACGAAAATAAATGCCACTGGGAGCCCTCACAGACGGTAGAAATGCTTGGCATGGAAGTCGACATGAGGGAAGGGATGATACGGGTCACTAAGGGACGGGTGGAAAAGCTGAAGACGTTTGTAGAAAAGCTGTCACAGGTCGAATATCCAACTGCCAGACAATTGGCCAGGCTTACGGGGTATTTGCTATCTATGTCGCTGGCATTAGGCCCCGTTTGCAGGTTGAGGACGAGGTCATTTTATGCACTGATTATGAACCGTAAGTCGTGGCATGCAAAACTCAGCTGGTCTCAAATGGCGCTTCAAGATCTGGAGTTTTGGTCTGGCTCGTTTAGTCAATGCCACGGTCAACCTTTTTGGAAAAAAGACCCCAGGGTGACAGTGCTCTCGTGGTCCAACACGAGCGACTCTGGCTGGGGAGGTTTCTCAGTTACATCAAAAGGAACTGAATTAGCTAAAGGGGAATGGACCAAAGAAATTGTGCAGGCTAGTGCCAGCTCCACATGGCGTGAGCTGCGAGCTATTTTGTGGTTCTGAGTTCGCTGTCGAAAGAGATTGAAGGTGGCGTTTGCATTCACAGAAGCGATAACCAGGCAGCCGTGCACATAATACAAGTAGGCAGTTCAAAATCTCATTTGCAGAGCGAAGCACTGGAGATTCACAAGCTGTGCGCCGTGCATGGTATTCAGTTGCTGGCAGAATGGGTGCCTCGCGAAGAAAATGAGCTGGCCGATTACCTTTCAAAGCTGTCTGATATGGATGACTGGCAGTTAAGTCCCAAATTGTTCGATTGGCTTGATTCGATGTGAGGCCCTCACAGCATTGATTGCTTTGCAAGCAGCAGAACAAAGCAAATGAGTAGATTCTGCTCAAGGTGGTGGAACCCGGGGTGCTCGGGTATTGATGCATTCACTGTGAATTGGAGCGGAGAAAGAGTTTGGCTGGTACCACCAATGTACTTGATAGGGCGTGTGGTAGATATGTTGATCGTGTCAAAATGCCACGGTACTTTGGTTGTTCCAGAATGGCAATCGGCGCCATGGTGGCCAAAGTTGCGTAGCGGCCCAAAGTGGGCAGAATTCGTTAAGGAGGCAATCAGCCTGCCAAAGTCTCATGATACCTTCCTGGAGGGTACTTGTCCATACAATTTCTTTGGTGGCAGTGTGAGTCCTTGTGACGTGTATGCACTACGCATTTGTACAGTGACAAACTGTGTTTGTTAGAAGAGGGATGCTGAAATTCCCCGGCCGCTGGAGTTTTTCTCTGACGGAAAGATGTCTGTTTGGGGAGCATGTGGTGATGAGCGAGAATGCGTGCATGCAGTGTCTGCGAGGTCCTGCTGCAGGATGTCCCCACTGCGGGGAGGTGATTGTGCTCTGAGCACGTAAGCAACTGCCTGGCAGTGGAAAGCTGTGGGTGCGGGTGAATGGCAGGAGTGGTGGAAGATCGCCAGGTATAGCGACGACATACCCCTGGGGGAAGAAGGAAGCTGACGAGTCGACTGCACTGACATAGCCAGCTAGGAAGCATTGACAGAAACCATTCTATTCTCTGTTCAGAACCAGCCAAGGACAACCTCTCAGACGACATGAAGGCGCTAGAACAATGTCTGCCATCCATTATGAATATGAGTCGGGCACCAAGAACTGTGAAGAAGTCCGACTCTGCTTTCTGTAGATGGAGCAAATGGGCAGAGCGTCAGAAGGTGCCTCATCTGCCAGCAGACCCATTTCATGTAGCCCTATATCTGGTCTACATCATGCAAGATGCCAAAACTGTCAGCCCATTGGTCTCAGCCGTGTGCGCCTTGTCATGGAAACATGATATCCAGGGATACCCAGACCCATGCCAACGGGGTGGTGAAGAATGTGATGCAGGCAGCCAAGCGCTCTCTGGCTCGACCGAAGGATAGAAAATTGCCATTATCAAAATCACTTCTGGAGCGCCTCCATCGGGAACTGTCAAGCTCATCACTGCAAGACCTGCAGACCCTAACCATCAAAGTACTGGGTTATGCCGGTATGATGAGGTGGGATGATTTGGCCAACATCTTCGTGGATGAGGTAGCCATCAAGTCATCACATATGGCGGTCTTCCTGCAAGTTCGCAAGAACGACCAACTGAGGCAAGGTAGCTGGGTGTTCATCAGCCGATGGGAGAGTGACCTGTGCCCGGTATCGCTAGTGAAGCATCTGATTGAAAAAAGAGGGCACCAAGGTCATGTCAAGCTGTTCGGGCGTATAGCTCGTGTAAAGGGCAGGACCGCCATCAAGCACTCGCTATCCTACAGTAGAGCAAGAGAGTTAGTGCGTGAAGCTCTGAAGCGTATCGGCGTAAACCCAGATGGGTATGGTTTACACAGTTTGAGGTCGGGAGGTGCATCCACGGCTGCTGCAGCAGGAGTACCAGACAGGCTCATTCAGCGACAGGGAGGATGGAGAAGTGATGCTATGAAGGCTTACATTCAGGAGTCCCTGCCCAATCTGCTGCAGGTGTCCCAAGTGCTAGCTGTGTGACTCTACTGCTATGCTTTAGCGTCCTTACTGTGGCTGTCCCCCCACAGTTGTTATTCTGTGATGAGTGTGTGTGTATGTGAGAGAGAGAGAGAGTGTGTGTAGGGGTGTGTGTGTGTGTGTGTGTGTGTGTGTGTGTGTGTGTGTGTGTGTGTGTGTGTGTGTGTGTGTCAGTTAGGAATTTTGTAGCTCTCATCGTTTGATTAGTTTTTGTTAGTTTTCAGTTCTCAGGGACGACTCTGGGCTTCCAGGGTCGTCCCTGGGACAGTTCCCAGTAGAAGTCCACAGCGGAAAGTCAACAGAGCAGATTCCAGGACGAACTTCGGGTGTCGTCACTCTGACTCTGTTTTCCGCTGTTGGACCCATCGCGAGGCCTTGCAAGCCCGCGAATGGAGCCATCTACCGCACGCAGTAGGAGACGAAAGGAGTTTACCCTGAGCGTTGGGACGTGGAATGTCCGCTCGTTGCTGGAAAGTGAAGGACCCGTCCAAACAGCATCCACTCGACATCAAGTGGCTGACGACAAGAAAATTTATCGGATAATTCAAATTTTCAAACGTCTTGGATTGGAAATAGTTTGTCTTCAAGAGACCTACTGGCTGGATAAGAACGTCTACAACATCGACGGAGCAGTGCTAATTTCGTCTGGAAGACCTTCACCTGGCGAGGGAGAGTCGTGTCGAAGGGGTGAAGGTGTTGCGATTCTGTTGCTGGGAAATGCAGCTCGCGCGTGGCGTGACGGCGGTTGTCAATACGACGCCCGCAGCTCTCGGATTGTGTCAGCGCGATTGAAGTTTGATATTCATGGGTGTTCACCGGTATGGTATACTGTCATCTCCGCATATGCTCCGACGTTCGCCAGCAAGCGAATTGCCAAGGAACAGTTCTTTGCGGACTTGCAAGCGACTTTGCCACGGATGGGCACAGAAAAGTTTATTCTGTTGGGTGACTTCAACGCCAGAGTTGGATCCCGTACGCATGCTGACGCTGATGAGTGGTCACGTGTACGGGGCCCACATGGAGTGGGTGAGATGAACTCTGCAGGACGTGAGCTGTTGGATTTTCTTGCAACTATTCAGGCGATGGTGTGTAACACATGGTTCTGCAAGACAGAGGATAGGAAGTGGACCTGGCAACATCCAAGGTCAAAGAGATTTCATTGTATTGATTTTGTCATCACGTCACAAGCTGACTACCACCAATGTATTGATGCTCAAGTTATAAGAAGTGCGGAATGTGGGAGCGATCACAACCTGGTGGCTGCGCGTTTTGTAGTAGGCCGTCTGCAGCGCCGCTCGCATTGTGTGCAAACGAAGAAATGTAAGCGGTTTGATGTTGCACGTTTGAAGGATGTCCACAGCACTGACTCATCTGCAAACATCACACGAGTTGCTGATGTCTATCGTGAATGCCTCACAAACAGTCTGCAACAGCCGAATGAACATACCACCGTTGAATGCAAATGGTCGAGGTTGCGCACCGCGGTCACCGAGTCTGCAGAGGAGACCCTCGGTTTTCAGAAACGTCGTCAACCAGATTGGTTTACTGAGAGCAAAGATACCCTCGAACCCTTGTTGAATGAAAGGAATCAGCGATATCAAGAATGGATTTCAAGTGGCAGGTCTGATGACACGTGGAACAGGTTCAAGGCTGCCAGGAGTAAGGCAAGAGCTGCTGTCCGCTCTGCCAAGAACTCCTGGTTCACCAACAAAGCCAAATCTCTTGATGGTGCACGGTTCAGCTCCTCACGGGTGTGGGCATGTGTTAAGGATATGCAGGCTGCCAAGCAGGGATTACGCCCTGTGTCTACTACCGCTATTAGGGATGCAAATGGCAACATCTGCAAATCTGTGGAGGAACAAGGTGGACGATGGTACCAACATTTCGATGGCGTACTCAACATCCCTAGCACATTTGATCCATGTGCCATTGACGAAATAGACCAGCAGCCTATCAACCAGAACATCGCTGGCAAGCCGGATGCAGCAGAAGTGGCGCGAGCTATTCGACAACTCAGCAACGGCAAGGCCGCTGGCGCCTCAGCTATCCTGCCTGAGTTGGTCAAAGCGGGTGGTGAGAGTTTCATGGAGGCACTGTTGGATCTGTTGCACCATGTCTGGGATGACGAGGCTGTTCCGCAGGAATGGGTAGACTGCAATCTTGTGCCAATCCCAAAGAAAGGTAACCTCTCATTGTGTGATAATTGGCGTGGCATATCACTCCTGGATGTTGTTGGGAAAGTTGCTGCTCGAGTACTTCAGTCCAGATTACAGATTATTGCGGAGAATATTCTACCCGACTCCCAGTGCGGCTTTCGTAAGGGTCGATCTTGCACAGACATGGTGTTTGCAGTTCGCCAAGTCCTGGAGAAGTTGTACGAACATCGCTGCCCGGGATACGTTGTCTTTGTTGATTTACGTAAGGCGTACGACTCAGTAAACCGTGAATGCATGTGGCTGGTTCTCGCGAAGGCAGGGGTCCCTAGTAACATCGTAAACATCATCAAGTCGTTTCACACCTCCATGTCGGCTACTCTCTCCATCGGGTCAACACCCATCCAACCCATTGCAGTGAAGAGTGGTTTGCGGCAGGGCTGTTGTATGGCACCAGTCTTATTCAACATATTCATGTGGGCTGTTTTCCAGAGATGGTCCAGAGTGGTCGAGCATGTGCCTGGTATCGGCGTCCCGTTGGCATTCAATCCTGGGGGCTCGCTTTATTTCAAGAGAAAGCGTACTGACGATCAGACTACCATCAACGACTGCCAGTTCGCTGACGACTCTGCACTGTTTGCCACTACCCGTACTGCTGCTGCTCTTGCTCTGGATATGTTCATCGATGTCTCGTCTGCATTTGGTCTGACCGTCAATCTGGACAAGACCAAATTTATGGCGGTTGGCTATGGTATCACGGATGATGACCGACTTCCTCTTCCTGTGAAGAATGGCACATTGGAATGTGTGCGTGAGTTCCGATACCTGGGTGCTGTTATCCATGATTCTGGCCGATCTCACAAAGATGTATCGACCCGTGTTTCATCTGCCTCCCGTGCTTTTGGAGCGCTCCGTCATGCTGTCTTCAATGACCACAATCTCTCTCTACGCACCAAGCGCCTGGTTTTCGAGGCCTGTGTTCTGTCCTTACTGCTCTATTGTGCGGAGACGTGGGTACCGCTGCAAAGTGATGTGCAACGGATCACGACCTTCTACTACCGGTCGCTTCTTTCCATCATGAGTGTTGCACAGCGGGATGTGTGGGACTTGAAGATAGCCAAGGACACCATTCTGAAAACATGGAATGCAGCAAACCCACTGGATATCCCCGACCGCCTTATGCAGAGAAGACTGGAATGGCTTGGGCACGTGGTACGCATGCCTGAGGAGCGGATGCCGCGGATGTTGTTGTTTGGCACATTGCTGCCACCACGCCCAGCGTGTGGCCCGCGGAAACGATGGCGAGACGCAATTAGGGTCGACCTGCGACGAATAAACATCGCCGACGAGTCATGGTTTGACACAGCGCAGGAACGATCTGAGTGGCGGCAAGCTTATCGAGCAATACAACCAGCTCAGAAACCGGCTCGGGAGATAATCTGCGAGGTGTGCCGGCGTGCATTTGCTCGGCAGCAAGATATCGCCCGCCACAAGTGCATCATGGAACGGCGTAAACCAGTCCAGCAGCAAGCCAACAGCCGCCAGTGCTCCCAGTGTCACCGATGGTTTCGGAGTGCGGGTGGCATTGCAGTCCATCGCTGTGTCCAGTCCAATTCTGCCCCGAATGTTGCCAATGCCACAAGCTCTTCACCTGTACGCCTATGTATTCGGAAACCGTGCTGTACCGCTCACTGCCCCATTTGTGAACGCTGCTGTAAGTCGATCCGGGGCTTTGCTATCCACAACTGCAACCGATCCACCAGGCGCCCAACTGCTGATGAAAGGGACAAGTTCCAATTGCAATGTCAGAATTGCCAGAGGCGTTTCAAAAGGCGAAACGACTTATCCCGTCACCAACGCTCATGTCTCCTCTCGTCTCCGTCTCGCTCAACGAGAAACACGTGACCTACATGGCAGTGTATACCAGGACCAGGAACAGGTGTGTGTGTGTGTGTGTGTGTGTGTGTGTGTGTGTGTGTGTGTGTGTGTGTGTGTGTGTGTGTGTGTGTGTGTGTGTGTGTGTGAGTATGTGTGCAGTACTGACGTGTGAGTGAGAAAAGAATTTTTCATTTCTTGTTGGCTGAGTTTTACGAAATAAACAAGAAATGTTGTTCTTTTCGAACGAACAGGTCTGGGACCGAGATCCGACAGTTTTGGGCGTACTGGTACGCCGCAGTCCCTCATCTTTTGTTTTCTTGCTTTGCAAGCTGGTTTCCCACCCTCCCTCCCAATGAGGAGCTTTGTATGGCTTCACACATGGGTCATGATAGTGAGAGTGCTGCGTTACTCTCTCTCTCTCTCTCTCTCTCTCTCTCTCTCTCTCTCTCTCTCTCTCTCTCTCTCTCTCTCTCTCTCTCTCTCTCTCTCTCTCTCTCTCTGTGATAGATTTCTTAATATTGCTGCTGCAATTATAGGTTATAAGTTGTGCGAGGCGTGGATTGTGCGGATGCTCTGTCCATTGCTGTGCTTTTCTGTATGATTCACCTTGCACAACGCTGTCACTATATGAGGTGTTGTTTTCGCTGGACGTTTTTTCTGTCTGTGTTCTGGACACAAGAGTGCAACCAGCCTTGCTGTGGCTGTCCCCCCCCCCCCCAGTTGTTATTCTGTGATGAGTGTGTGTGTGTGTGTATGTGAGAGAGAGAGAGTGTGTGTAGGTGTGTGTGTGTGTGTGTGTGTGTGTGTGTGTGTGTGTGTGTGTATGTGTGAGTATGTGTGCAGTACTGACGTGTGAGTGAGAAAAGAAGCCTTTTTACAGGGTGCTCGAGGTAAGTGGGTAAAACAAAGTTGAATGAAAAACCAAGGCTGCATACTTCACCATTACGTATTGCTAAGGAGGTTTGAAATCTT